TGTATCTAAGCCGGTCTTAAACTGATATACTAACAGTTTCTCTGGCCAGCCTCTTAGTTTTCCCGTATATAATCAGCAACCAGTCGGCCCTTCTGGCATAATGCCATCAACTCCCCCTCAACCCTTTGTACCCGGGTCGGATCCTTAAACCGTTCTCAGAGGGCATCCAAAAAGAAACCACAATGCTGCAACTCTGGACTGTGTTCACTGTAGAGGCCCGCAGCCCAGTCTGCAGCCTCTCCCTCCAAGACCTCTGCAAATGGCCAACTCAGTCCATATGCTCTATCACGTGACCCAAGAAAATGGCTACTTTATCTGGGTCACCATCGAAAGAGACCTTCAAGGAGGGAGGTCCCCAAGGACCCCCCACTATAGCCTGGCCTCATCCACTTCCAGCTGGCCAAGCATAGACTGGATGGCCACTAGATACTGCCTGTGGCGGCCAATGGTGACTTCTGTCACTTAGCGGTTGACACTTTTATACTTAGCAAATTTAATTATTCCATCTCTTTGCCAAAGTGGGTATTTCTGTAATGGAGGTGAGAACAAGAGTGCCAGATCTGGACTGCAAAACCTGGATACAGAATGCTAGCTACCTTTTGCTGCCCAGATTTACAGCCCAAAATGAGGAGGAAATATTTAATGAGGGAAGGTAGAATGCATTGTTCACCAACTGTCCCTAACAGGTCCATCAAATTAACCTATTTTCAAAGAATTTCTAGGTGCATAAAACTTTATGTCTTGCTTGCTCAGGCTCTATGAATAATCAGAAGCATTGTATGCAAATGTCACCTACACATACACTAAATCTGGCGCTTTACAGATGATGAACTGGATTTCTGCTTCCAAACTTCCTTACCAACATACACACAACAAACTGCCCAAGATCTGCCCAAGCACAATTTTTACATGTTTAGTCTTCAATATCTGGACCGAAGTTGGGCCAACATTATCTGAAGTAGGACACCTATTTCCTTCATTTCTTCATTTGATTCATATTGCCTCCCATCTCATGTCCTAAAGTCTGTAATCCTGTTGTATAATGTTTTGTTTGAGCACTGCAGATGTCGTTCATGTTCCACAATGTTGCAGGAGCATGGTGGACAAGATAGTTTTGTCTGTTCTCTCCCAGAATAGACTAGAATAGAATAGAATAGAATAGAATAGAATTCTTTATTGGCCAAGTGTGGTTGGACACACAAGGAATTTGTCTTTAGTGTATATACTCTCAGGGTACATAAAGAAAAATAAAATACATTTATCAAGAAACATAAGACACAACACTTAGTGATAGTCATAGTTTACTAATAAGCAATCAAATCATACTAGGAAACAAAACAATATAAATGGAAAGATATAAGTAACATGGGTATAGTCATAAGTGGGTACTAGGAGGTGGGTACTAGGAAGGATGAGAA